ATGAGTGATCAAAACCGAAAGTTTCTGTGATGACTGCCTTTGTACTGTTCACCATGTAAGAACTTATTCACTATGTAAGAATTTGTTCACCATGTAAGAACTTGTTCATTATGCTTCAGAAGATTGGAGACTGATGAGAATTAGGCTTGGGGTGGATTAATGATTGTGCATTGAGCATTGACTCCCCTATACAGAATTTTATTGTTGTTAACAACATTTGATCAATAAATATGAGAGATGCCCTCTCAAAAAAAACGAAAAAAAATGTCAATGTTAAAAGTTAGCTGTCATAAAAGTCCTGGAAGAATATGTCGCAGAGTATTTGTGTATCTCAGAATGGAAAGGAGCTTTATAATTATAAAAGCAATACAAAATAGTCACAACAGGAGACTGATAGGACTGCATGAAAAGAAAAGCTTTTATACTTCAAAACTCACCCCCCTTCAGCTTTTCTTAGTAACAGCTTTTGCTGCTAACTATGGGGTTTGTGCTTCTAAACTTAAATTGGGACAGGATTAGAAAGTGTGTTACACTACCGATGGGTTAGCATGTAGAACAGTTTCTTCCTGAAATGAGACATAGGATATTATAGACCCACGTCTGTGGTACATTGATGTATGATGTCATGAAAACATTTCCCAAGACCCCAATCCAGGCAGGTCTCTGTGTCTTCAGTACATTACCCTTGGAATTCAAGGAGGCCCTAGTTCCAGGTGGGAATTGGAGTGGGCTGGTCTAATAAATGCCAACAGTCACTATTACTCCCATTTTGCAGAGGAGGAATATTGCTGTGCTTTATGAACCAACATTTCATTTCTCCACATGAGGTTATAATTGTTTCTTATTTGTAAGAATTAGAGATTAGCCAGGCAATACGAAATAGTAAAATGAACTCAATCTAAATCAATGCATATTTCAGTAAGGCTATAAATGCTTTATGTCTAAAAATTAAAATTAAAGACAGTTCAACCTGTCATGGTTGCCATTTATATGTTTTTTTCCTAAACAATAACAGTAACATACACAAAACCCTGATATCTTAACAGTCCATTTAGCTTTCAATCTATGCCATTTGTAAGGTTTAGGCAGCATAGGCCCACAGTAGACATACCCCAATCCTAGAGAAACTTAGATAGTCACGGAGAGGCTGAAGTGCACAGCAGAGAAGGCACGTCTCGGTGGATAGACATATTGAAGGCAAATGTCATTGCCAAGACTGAGCAACTGGACAGCTTGGGTGAATGTGCCGGCAGGTCCTCCGTGTTCCTGTCAGGATAGTGTGACACAGTTGCTGCAAGCCTAGAATGTCAGCTGCACTTCACAGCTGGGCTTTCGAAGTTCACTCCCTCTCACTCTGATGCCCTGAACTCAGCCGCGGCTAAGGCGGTACTGCTCTCAGGTCTTTATTGTCTCTGTTCTTCCCTTTACATGTCCTGCTGTTTCTCCAGTAGCTCCCAGCCTGCCCATTCTCCAGGGCTTCCCTGTTCAGACCCTAATGGGAGAGAGTCTGATGGCCTTGGATTATCACAGCCATCCCTTGGTGTGGAGCCCAGGCCATTTTGAAGGTCACCAGCCACCTGCTATACTGGCTGGCCTTGGGTCAGATCTCTGGCCTCCCCTTTCTCAAGATTTCCTCCATGCTACTCCTTCAACATGCGAAAGAGGACCGAGTTTCCTTTAGAAGAGCACGTGGGTAGCACGCCTCTCTGAACAATGTTAGTCGTCATAATAATCAAAGTGAGCACCTGCAGAGCACTGACAAAGGGCCAGACTTTGCACTTAACATGTGCCATGTCTTAATGCATCAGTCTCACGTGGAGACAAAGAAAGAAGCCCACAATAGCAAACAATTTGCTCAAAATGGTAAGAACAGTAAGTGGTACAGTCTACTGGCTTCCAAAGCTTATGCTCGTAGTCACTAAGCTGCAGTATCTGTATCTCTCATACCATGTCTCTCTAAACCTTGATTTGCTAATCCGTAAAATGGAAACTACATTGCAAATCTGTTTTAAGATTTACAGGCAACATATGTAATGCATTTATCACAGGAAATGACATACAGTAAAGAAAAACAAGGAACTTAAGAAAATAGTGAAGAGCAATGATAAGAATATACAAATGGACAAATCTAGATAAATATTAACTATAAAATAACAAATATCATGAGATTTAAAATGTAAAATTAAAATATACACCAGCAATAGTACTTTAGTAAGTCAAGAATGCATGTTGCAATCTATAGGCAAATAGCAAAAATAAGTTTTAAGTATAATGAAGCTAATAAAAGAAGAAATGTAATTATAAAATGTTAAATGAATCCAAAAAAATCTTAAGAAAGGATAGGAAAAGCCAGAGTAGTCAGGGCAGGCAGAAAGCAGATAATAAGGTGGTAGATTTCAATGTAAATTATAGTGAATTTAAACACATTAAGTATTCCAATGAAAATGTATAGATCCTCAGACCAGATAATAAAATAGATGCTGCTTTTAAGAGACATGCCTTATAGAGAGAAATAGGCGTGAAATTAAAGGAAGGGAAAAATACTCCTGCAAGCGAAAAGTTGTGAAGCCAGAGCTTCAAGTGGCTCATTTAAGAGCAGTTAAGTTTCAGATTTAAGATGAAACAATATTATATTTGTTTGCACCTAATAATAAAACCTCAAAATGTGTAAAATGGAAATGGACAGATCTGCAAAGAGAAATAAGCAAATCCACAATCATGGTGGGAGATAGTATACATCAGAGCTGTCCAGAGATGCAGAACTACAAGGGTGTATATATTAAGAGATTTATTTTAAGGTTTTGGCTCACACAGTGTGTGGCTGGCAAGCCCGAGCTCTGTAGGGGAGGCTGGCATGCTGACGCTCAGACAGGAGCTGATGTTGCAGTCCTCAGGCAGAATTTTTTTCTTTTCTGGGAAACTTCAGTTCCCGCTCTTGAGGCTTTCAACTGATTGGGTGATGCCCACCCACATCATTGAGGCTAATCTCCTTTACTTTAAGTCAACAGATTGTAGATGTTAGCCACCTCTACAAAACATCTTCGCAGCCACACCTAGACTGCTGTGTCACTGAATGACTAGATGCGATAGCCTGGCCTCGTGGACACAGAAAACTAATCGTCAGACAGACTTTAACACATTTGAAAACACGTTATATTTGAGTTTAAAAAAAAGGCTAGTTAACAAAGGTAAGTCTGGTAATTGTTGCAGGCTGGATCCCCTGGGAGGCCGACTGAGTGGAGATGGCCTGCAGTGTGATTCCCAGGCACACTCCTGGGATCCAAGGCTGTGGAAGGGACAGGGGAGGCAAGCTTTGAGAAAGGACTGGAGCTGCGGTCAGCGTCCACGGCAGCCTCGGCCAGTCCTCCCGGGAGATGGGGAGAGGGCACGACCTTTCAGAGCTGTGCTGAGTCAGCGACAGGGCAGCCTCTCTGCATCCCGAACCAATCCAACACTGCAGACAGGCTGCCCTGAAAAGGGGTGAGGCGGCTCAGAAGGGGCCTGACAGCCAAGGCGTGGGTGGCACAGCCTCAGGAGCTGCGACAGGAAGCCCTTCAATCCCTAGAGGGCTCTGGGCCACTCATCACTTGTATTTGGTTTCTTAATATGTTTAACCTCTTTGTTGTTGGCCTGACATAATGTCCATTATTTTAAACGAATAGCAGAAGTTATCAGTTTCACTTGATGGGACTGTTAAGGGAGCTTACCCTCTTTCCAGTGTTGTGCAAATGGGGCCCTCCTCACCAGGCGAAGATAGCTCAGGACCCCAAGAATCCCGGCTGAAGTCCCTGCGTGTCCAGTGGGCTGCTGACCCTCCTCTCTGTTGGTTCGTTGGGTTTGTGGAGTCGAGGTGCTCTACGCCAGCCAGGAAGTCTCCTCTTGGGCCACCGATCCTCTGTGCAGGTACTGTCACCTCAGTACCCAGAGGGGCCGTGGATAGCATTGTCCTGGGTCTGCAGAGGCAATTACCAAGAACAAGCAGAGTCGTTACGATGATTCGGCAGATGATCTCTCCTCCTTCCTGACCTCCACCTCCTGAGCTAAGATGAAGGAACTTGGACCCATCTCTCTTACTGTGAGAGGGGTCTTCCTTCATGGAAGGTGGCGTCTGTTAAGCACGTGCTGTGAGAACAGGCATGCATCGCTTTATTGCACTCCACCCTTTTCGTGCTTCCCAGATGTTGCACTTTTGACAAACTCAAGGTTCAAGACCTCACTGGAGGCATAACTGCAGATGTGGTAGAAATGGCCAGAGAACCAGAATTAGAAGTGGAACCTCAAGATATGACTGAAACCTGAAACGGGTGAGGAGTAGTTCCTTACGGAGGAGCGTAAGTCCTGAGATGGACTGTACCCCTGGTGAGGGTGCTGGGAAGCTTGGTGAAATGACAACAAAAGATTCAGGATATTCCATAAACTTAGTTGCTAAGGCAGTGGCAGGGATTGAGAGGACTGACTCCAATTTTGAAAGAAGTCTTACTATTGGTAAAATGCTGTCACAGAGCTTCTCTGTTACTACAGAGAAATCATTCATGAAAATCAATTGATGCAGCAAAGTTCATTGTTGTCTCATTTGAAGAAATTGCCACAACCACCCCAACCTTCAGGAACTATCACCCTGATCAGTCCACAGCCATCAACGTCAAGGCAAGACCCTCCACCAGCAAAAAGATGACACCTCACCGAAAGCTCAGATGATGGTTAGCATCTTTTTCAGCAATGAAGTGTTTTTTAACTAAGGTATGTGCATTGTTTCTGCAGACAGCATACCATTGCACACTCAGTAGACCAAATTATAGTGTAAACATAACTTTAATAGGCATGGGGAAACCAAAAACATAAACCTGACCCACTGTATTTGCTCTATTGCAGTGGTCTGGAGAGAACTGCAACACCCCCAAGGCATTCCTGTATGTGCTTTCCTGCCTTAAAAGATAGTTAACAAAAGCTTAGAACATTATTTCATTTACAGTCATTGGTTATAAGTAATTCACATTCTCTTACTGTAATGCTTCCTTGGGAAGTCATCAAGGAAGATACAGGCTGGCTCGTACATCTCCCAGACAGGAGTTTGGCTGCCAGCAGGGAATTCTGAACAACGAAAAGCTCTAGATAATGCATGAACAACAGGATAATGGTTAGATATTTTTAAAAATGAGCATGGTGATAAAATGCCCATGAAATAATTTGCATAAGCACAGATAACCAGTCCTTTTCTTTGTAGAGTTCTTAGTCTTAAAACACTTAGAATATTTTGTCCTTTATGATGCCTAATGGGCAATTATGATTCTCAATTCTCTTATTAATTTACATTTTACATTTAAAGAACTGATTTATCTGAAGTAAATGCACAGATACTGTATTAGTCAGAGATAGCACCAATGGGAGGTATACAATGGAATATATACACGGAGACAGAAAGAAAGATTTGCTATAAAGTATTGGCTCATGTGAGTATGGAGGCCTACAAGTTCCACAATCTGTTCTCTGTGAGCTGAGACCGAGGAAAGCCAGTGGTATAGTTGGAAGGTCTGAGAGCCAGAGAACCTACAGGGTAGATTCTAGTCTGAGTTTAAAGAGACGAGAAACAGGAGTACCAAGGGCAGGAGGAAGTGGATGTCCTGGTGCATGGTTGGGAAGAGGGCACAGTCAACCGTCCTCTGCCTGTTGGTTCTTTTCTGGCCTTCAGCAGATTGGGTGAGGCCCGCCCTCATGGTGGAGGGCAATTTCTTCACTCAGGCCACAGATCCAAATGCTGTGCTCTTCTGGACACATCCTCACCCAGAATAGTGTTTCACCAGGTATCTGGACCTCCCTTGGGAGTTAAGCTGACACAAACTCAGCCATCACAGATATAAACTAAAGTCAAATAACAGTAATATAAACATTTGGCAGAATATGTTTTCAAATGTAGTATGTTATGGACTAGGCTTAGGAGCATCAGATAAAAACTGTAATAACAATGTGCTGGGCATTCTGTGTTTGCCTCTCCAAGCCCACCTCCCCCCTTCCCCTGTGGCCCGGAGGGCTGACCTCTGTGAATAGCACCAGGGGGGCTCCTTTGTCCAGAGGCTTTCCATGGAGGCACTGGAGGGAACTGGACAAGAGGACAGAATGGTCAGGGTATTCATGTTCCTCTCAGGCCGTGTGTTGACAGTGGTGGTATTCCAGTGCTGAAGGCCCCTGTCCCCAGCCCTTTCCTGCAGCTGCAGTCGCAGCCCTCTCTGGGTCTGGACGTCCTCCCTCCCTACCACACCCTGGGTCCTAGGGCAGGCTTGATGGACACTCCAACACCCACCATTGTTTTACCATAGCTCTGCCCACACCTTGTAAATAGCCCCCTCATTAAACTCAGCTCAGTTACACCATTGGAGCGTCCCATCTGTCACCTGCCAGGACTGGCTGATGAAGCGTGTTCAGTATTGGTTTGTGCCGTGCTGTATGCATGTACCTTATGAACCCTCTGTTCCTCATTGATCAGGATTGTGAATCTTTTTTTCCCATGACACCAAGTTGCCCTTAATAAAGCTTATCAGCACTAACGCTCAAAGACGGCAAATTCAGAACTAGTGTCAGGTTTTTTAAAGAGTATGTTACGTAAGGCTGGGAAGCATAAAATACAAGTAGTCACATACATTCTCCCCACTCCCGACCCCAAACACACACACACACACACACACACACACGCTTTGTAACCCCATATTGCTTCTGGTTCCTAGTACTGGAAGTGCTGATCGGAGCAACAGCTCTGACTCAGCAGTTTATTTAACTAAACACCAACTGTTAACATCTCTCATGAACTCTGGTTTCCTTTTCACATTCAGTTAAACTGAAGTTCTTCACTTAATGTAAAATTTAGAGGTTGCTATCTCGGGGCTTCCCATGACTGGCTGCTTCTATCCACTCTTACTTTTATCTCAAAATCTCAATTTATTTATGTTCCAAATATATAGATATTAATTTTGCTTTTATCTTGAATTTCACTGAGTGGGAGCAGGGGAGTCAGTACTAAATTACTGCTTCCTTACAACTATCTTAACATCTAATGGAACATCACTCTTCTTGTGTGCCTAGAAGTTTATAAAAATTTTTTTTAATTTAAATTTTAATCTGTCTAAATTTTGGCAACATATGTCCGCTTCTAGAAGGTTTCATCTCCCTAAATTGAAACTCTGTAACCATTTAACACTTGCTTCCCATTCTCTCCTCCCAACTTCTCCCAACAACTACAGTTTCTGTGGATTTGACTACCCTACATAACTTATTTAACTGGAATCATACAGTATTTGTTCCTTTGTGACCAGCTTATTTTACTTAGCATAATTCTTCAAGGCTCGTCCATGTCATAGTGTGTGTCAGTGTGTCCTTTACAAGGCTGAGTAATATTCCATTGTACATATACCTGCCACATTTGGTTTATCCATTTACCCACTGATGGACATTTGAGCTTTTTCTACCTTTTGGCTAGTGTAACTAATAGTCATGAACAAGGTGCATAAATACCTTTATGAGATGCTGCTTTCAGTTATGTTGAGTATATAACCAGAAATGGAATCTTGGATCATACGGAAATTGTATGCTTAATTTTCAAAGAATGGCCATACTGTTTTCCATAGCAGCTGCCCCAATTTAATTTCCCTCCAGCAGTGCACAGACCTTCCAGTTTCTCTGTCTTTGCCAATGCTTGTTATTTTCCTTTTTTTTCTGTTTTTTGGGGGGTTTTTTTGCTTTAGTTTTTAAATATGAATGATTCTTTTACATGGTTACAAATCAGTCATGCAATTGTCATCAAATCAGAAAATGTATTCCCATGACTCATTGTTCCAGAGATAGAGACATTTGTAAAATATCAAAATCAATCACTGAATGTCTTCAACATTGAGAGGGTCTCTTGCCAATAGGCTTCAGCCCCAGGCAAGTTTGCTATGGATTCAATATGACTGAAGAAATTGACAGCAAAACATTCTTGGGGTGAAAGGGTTATACCCAACTTCATTTCCAGGTGGCAGATCAGTCACTAAAGTCCCATCCACTCAGAGCAAGTCTGCATGCAGCAAGCCAGTCTCTGCCTCTGGGCCCCTCTGTCCACACAGCCGTCCTCTGGGCCTCTCTGCACAGTTGTCCCACACAGACATCCTCTGGGCCTCTGTCCTCAGTGCTGCCACCACTCCAGCCTCTGCTCTGCTCTCCTGCAGCCTTGCAGCCCTACCATCGTGTCACCCAGAGCACTGGGCAGAGCTCTTTATACAGAGTCAACAGCCATGTATTGCCCACAGGTGTGCAGTGAGCTAGTCAACCAGGGCCAGGTGAGAATCCTGGCCACAGGAACTCTCATTTTATCCACAGAGGGTTACAACTGGATTTTTACAACTGCTTTGTAAACTTCTAATGGCAAACTCCTTTTTCACTGAACATTTTAAAGAGCAGTTTAATTCATGTTAACCTATATTTATTGAGAGCCACTATGTAGCAGGTCCTGTTCTAAGGGAATGGGCCCAGCAGTGAACAAAACATTTAAAAGATTACAAACCATTTGGAAACCAGTGTTACAGTGGATTCTTTGCAGATATTTTCCCTCATATGTTAATAGGAAATAGCCTCCTTCCTGAGGAATAGGTAATCCAACTCAGTCTCCTAGGAGCCCCGGAATTGGAGGGCTCCCCCTGTGGGTGGGGCTGTTCCCTCTGGCACCCTCTAGGCTAGAGCACCGTGCAGACCATCTGGTCTTGTAGTTGGTATTTTTGTAGGGAAAGAATGAGCAAGCTGAATTCTCTTGGAAGGCTTCAGGAACTGGAAAGCAAGCCCATTTACTCTCCCCTAGGAGGCTTGATCGCGCCCCCGCAACACCCCCACACATGTGGTATCCAGGTAATGAGACATGGCTCTCAGACACCACGTGTGAAAGTGGTGAGTAAATTCACTTTTGTGAAATGCAACTTCACCTTCCTCTCACTTGTCCTCGGGTGTTGTTTTGCTTTTTTATGAGTCTGCATGTAATTAGTCACAATTAAAATCTGAATTCTCTAAGTATATATTTGCACTCCAATTTCATCTTAGGCAATAAAAAATAAATAACTCACAGTGACTTTATTACCTGCATTTCTTGGGTTTGAGGAGGCAGAATAATGAAGTGGGTCTCTTCACAACATCCATGTGACATGTAGGGTTCGCAGGGATTTGAAAGCTCAAGCTCCTTTCAGTTAATCTGTCACATTCTCTATAAACATGAGTCCTAACAAGAATGCCCCAGGGGTCCTTTAAAAGTGAAGATATTATTTTGTCTTTCTTCAAGGGAGGAGGAGAAGGGCTAGTGTTTGAGACAAAAGACTCCCAAACTCATTGTTACCATTCTGCATCCACTTATGAGCTCTGTCATTCCTTATTTCATTTGTTTGTGTTCTAAATGTCAAATGACTGTGAGATATCTGCTGAGATCTAGTAACACATTTCCAGTTAATTCTTGGGACTCTAGAATGTATGTTACGCTTTACTGACACCAAAGGCTTACATTCTCCAGAAGTGGTTTGAGTTCCCACCTTTCTCCTGTCCTTTCTCGGTCCCTCCCGCTGGGATCTCACTGAGTCCTCCCTTCCCTCACTCCCTGCCACTCTCTTCTGCTTACATTTTTTGAAAGCCTCATACTGAGGATGGATACAAGGCAATATGGTACCTCTGCTTTTGGAGCTTACATACAACTGTAACAGCTGATGCAAATATTATTGAACATTTGCCAAGTAGTCTGTAGGGTTTTTCTCACTTATAAACACACAATGCTCAAAACTGACATGATTTTCCCCTCCCCATCCCTCACTGCTGCATCAAGAGGATCAAGTGACTCTGTCAGAACACCTGTGTATTCCCTCCCATCCTTGCTCTCTCACTGATGGCCCTGACTGCAGACTTTCATCAGGTCACATCCAGAATTGTGGGTTGAACTGCATCCACCAAACAGATATGATCAAATCTTACACTGCCTACTTGGGAATGGGGTCTGGTTTGGAAATACTCTTTGTAGATGTAATGAAGTTAAAATAAGGTCATACTGCTTTAGGGTCAGCCCTGATCTAGTGACTGGTATCTTTATAAGAACAAGGAAACTTAGACATGGAGACACAGAGCAAGAAAGCCAGGTGACAATTGGGGTAGATATTGGAGTGATGTGTCTCCAAGCCAAGAAATGCCAACACTTTCTGGCAATCAGAAACTAGGAGAAAGGCAAGGGACAATTTGTGCCTCAGAGCCTAGGAAGGAACCAAACTTGAGCACCTGCATTTAGGACTTCCAGCCTCCAGAGCTATGAGACAATATATTTCTGTTGGCTCACGTTTGTGGCAATTTGTTGAGGCAGCCCTGAGAAACTAATACACCCAAGTCAGTGTAAGAGCTGTCAGATGGTTCTCCTTGCCTCCGAACTCCCCACCTATGTTCCCACTGATCACTGTGGCATCCTGCACAATGCTTGCAAGGTCAACACAAGCACAGAGAACTGAGTCATGGGAGGGGAGAGAAGAATTTGCAAGAGGGGAATTCTGAGACTGGAAAGTGATGATGACCATTTAAACCACTGGATGCTTGCAGAAATCTTGGAGCAGTCATAGAACTTCCCCCAGATGTGGAGTGGGGAACTTGAAGCACAGAAAGGCTGCTGCCACCATCTGGGTGACATACATACACACAATCTCATTGAATCCTCCAGGCTGGGGGCCACTATGGCACTTACAGGGAGGAAGCTGAGGGGTCTAGTTGCTGAGCTGGTCAAGTCCAGTGATGGAATCTGAACCCAAGGCATTCTGCTCTACAGCAAGCATTCTTCCTTACCATGGCCATACCTCTACATCAGCACACAGGGTTACTGATTTTTCCTGGCCCTACCTTGCTGTTTACTTATATAGATTTCTCTCTCTTTTCCTCTGCTTTGGTCAAAACTGGCTCATCCTATAAAGTCCAGTTAAACTAATTTCATCTGTTATAATGTTTTCCAAGCTTTTAGGCAAAACAGTTGAATGAGCTCCACTGAACAAAACCTAATGATGTACAGATAATTCTATTTGTCACCATTTAGCATTTCCTGAGTTATCTCTTCAAGTATGGTCTTGGTCTTTTTGCATATTTTCTTCAGAGTCACTTTTTTCAGGATTGTTGTGAACTCTTTGGGCAGAATCCATAATTTATACTTCTTTGTATCAACAGCAGGTCTCAGAATAGTGCCTCGAACAAAGAAAATGCTCAATAAACTGGGATGTCTTGGTTCCCAGTGCAGAACAAACCCCCTCATGGTGCCCAGTCTCAGCTCCTCTCCCTTTGACATGAGGGGTTTGCTCTGGCAAGTTGTAGTTTCTCTCAGTCGTGTTAGGCTAGGACACTGCCCCTGAGGCTTAGAGCCATGCAGGAAGATGGGATGTGGGACTCCTCTGGCCCAGTTCTCAGGCACAGGAGACTGGGCAAGCTTCGCCTGCACCAGATTCACCAGACAGTTGGGCTGAAGTTATGACCATGGTGCTGAGAGGAAATACAGGCCAGGTATGGTGCTGGCAGGGTCTCGGTGTGGCTCAGGTGTCTGCCTGGCATTCTGTCTAGGATACGTGTTGGGAGAGGCCAGATCTCAGCAGCACTGTCTTCCCACATGTGTTCAGAAAGACTCTGGTAACATATTCCCACTGAAGCTGTAGGCACATGGTTATGGGGAATGATATTCTAAATGGTAACTGTAATATGTGTATACCTTTCCTTGTTCAGGGTGCGCTCTTGGAAAACAGGTGATATAGGTGTGTGTGTGTGTTGGGGGATTGCTGGAAGGGAAACTTAGTGGGGCATCTGGAGCTCTGTTTTGCCTTTTCTTATTGAAATTATGGCCCCACCCAGAGTGTAATGTTGAGACCATTTTCCCCAATGCAGGTTCTAAAAACCCAAACTGAGTGGTATGGGCAACTGAATTTTTATGAACCAGCAGAAACATTTTCCAAAGTTTAAAGCATAATTATATATATCTGGATGCTGATGATTTGTGATGGTGTAGGAAGTGAGAACATTCCCTTGCTAGCAGTAGCATCTCCCTTTCCCGAGCTGCATTAAAATCCCACAATCAACCATGCATCCCACAGAGAACCATGTAGGCATGGAGAGAAAAGAATTCTCCATTTTGGCTGCAGCCAGCAATATCTGGTAATACCCACATAATATTACAGTCAGAGAAATATGGGTTGGGGGGGAAGAGAATAGAGATTTCATCCATAAAGAGATATCAGTTAATTGATAATCATGTATAACTCTAGGTATAATCATATAGAAACCAGGTAACATGAGATAGTTCATTTATGTTTATGGGGAACCAATTTTATTTTATGTTCATTTTACTGAGGCTGGTTCCTTCTTATTCTCCTAGGAAGTAAATGTAAACATGCTCAGTATGCATACTCTTAGCAAAAGAATTCAGACTTTATGTCTTTGTTTCAGAGGCAAATGCTGTCAGCATTACTATTTCAAAATAACCTTTATTAACAGTTATAGCTGGGGTCATTTATATGCAAATATCTTAAAAAGGGGGCAACAAAGGAATATTTGGAGATTTGAATAGTGTATTTCTAACTTTATATGTTATCTGTAGAATTCAAAGGTAATATCTGATCCATGCCTTTCACATATGCTCAGTTTCAAACCACATTATTCTAAGGCAGTGGTTCTAGCCCAAGGCTGATTTTGGCCCCCACCCCAAACCTTCTAGGGGATGTTTGGCAATGTCTGAGGACCTTTTCGATTGTCACAGCTAGGGAGGGTCCTACTGACATCTAGGGGTAAGGGCCAGGAGAACTGCTAGATATCCCACACTCAGGACAGGCCCTTACACCGAAGAAAACATGGCCCACATGCCAGAAGTGCTGAGATTCAGTAGCTCTGCTCTAAAGAAAAAGAAATTATATTTCTCCTTCATGATAACCCACAGTTAAACTTTGTGCCCCATTTTGTCTGAGATGTCATGACCAGAAAGATAATCTCAGAAGAATTTCACATCTTGTTAGTGCAAAACAGAGAAACTGTGTCTGAAGTGAGTGTGCACTGTTATGGTAGCACTCACTCCCTGCTAGGGCAGTGGACATTGCCTGCTTCGTTGTCTGGGATGCTCCCCACCCAAGCTCCTTTCAAACATATTGTAGGGACTCTCATTAATCTTTGACTAAGGATGCTTCAAGAGTGGTCAGTTTACTCTGAAGGGTGCTACCACCTGAAAGCAAGGAAAATGAAAAAAGGAGAAAGAAAAGAAAAAAAAGGAAAAAAAAGTTATGCTTACATTTGAAACATCTCCAAATCTTGATGGGGCTCAGAGTGTCATTAATTATTTCAACAGCTGAAAAGACAATGCAAATGTTAAAAACACAGCTATCAAGTGTCACAGCATCTGGGAGCCCTAGTGGCTATTTAAAATGATTTTTCAGGATACTTCGGTACTTGAGCATAACAAACTGCAGAGACGTTAGCGCATCCCTGCCCCACCTCACACCCACCCTCCTGTGGTCTCTAACCCTACAGTGTAGTAAAATAGATCCAACATCCTGTTCATTATTCAGCAATATTTGATTTTGATTGCTATACCCCTGGGCATTTTTATTTGGAGACTCTACGTTGCTTCCTTAAGCCTTGCTCATGCTGGTTGGGGAAAGTGAGCTAGAAAGGGTGACTTAAAGAAGGAAGAAGTCTCATGGCATCTGATTCCCCTGGCATCACCCTCATCTTAGGAGAAGCAATCCCTTATCCACAGTGCACAGAAGGAACACGTTCCAGACTTCTTGGTGACATGCTCTGTTTCCTAACAGTGTGAGGTTAATGAACCTTCTTATTTTTGGCAGGATGACTTAGTGGAAAGTAGAAAAAGCTATCTGAGAGAGCCCTGTGTAGAGGCTTTAATTACGTGACAGTTAAGAAGAAAGCCCCTTCCTTTCAAGGCAGAAGGATGTGGTTCTCTCTTCCCAAATCTGGCAGCTATTGTTCAATTATATAAAGAAGGAAATTAAAATTTGATGGATTAAGTAAGGGGGTGAACTGGTACTTATTTCCTAGCTAGAAATTACCATTTTTGCTTGATAATTATCAGTGCCATAGTCTATTCACTTTTGTAACATGGTTTTTTTTAATTAAAATTGAGATGCTTTACATTTCTTGCCTTCCCTTAAGAAAATCTTCCAAGTGTTTAACTACCTGATACTGGAAAACTTTGGTTACAGTGTGGAAGGAGCAGAGTGAGAAGACCTGGAGGAGCTGTACCCCTTCACTTTCCATGAACATAATCTCAGTGAGAACTCTGGGGCTTGGATGAATTTGTCAGTTTGCCAAAGATGTTCGTAAGAGGTCAGAAATCGACACAGGCTTAAAGATAGTGGCATCAGAAGTGAGACTGAAACCTCCTCCAAAAAACACATATAATAAGAAAATACAGCAAATAAAACTGATCCTGAAAGAGTGACTGGAAAGAAATCTGAGGCAGACTGCCTACAGCTGGGGAAAAGAGTAGACCTCACAGCAAAGGGTAAAGTGGCAAAGCCGCAATCCAGCAGGACCCAGGCCCTCTCCCCACTCCAGCTAACCAGCAGGAGGAAGAGAAACAGAGCAGGGAGGGGGTAAAACCCCAGGACTGCTGAACACCCACTCCTGGAGATGTGCTCCCAGAGCACGAACCCACATTACATGGTGCTCTGGAGATTAAAGGGCTTGGAAAGTAAAGAAAGAATACTTGAAGAGATTGAGATTCCAGCCACTTGTGGAGAACAGGTACCCACACCAGCAGCTGTGGGTCAAAAGAAAGGCAGGCAATCTGAGAGACTTCCCAACAGGGAGAGGGCTGCTAAAGGGGCATAGATTACACAGAGCTTACTACTCAGGAGAAAGGACAGGTGGAGAAAATCATCTTGGCACCCTCAGCACAGCAGGTTGGGAACTTTCAGAAGCTTCAGGCACTCCATCCCTGTAGTTGTTAATGCAGCTGGTGGGAATGTAAACTAGTTCAACCATTGTGGAAAGCAGTATGGAGGTTCCTCAAAAAACTAAAAATAGAAATACCATTTGATCCAGGAATTCCACTCCTAGGAATTTACCCAAAGAAAACAAGATCCCAGATTCAAAAAAGACATATGCACCCCAATGTTTATTGCAGCACTATTTACAATAGCCACGATATGGAAGCAACCTAAGTGTCCATCAGTAGATGAATGGATAAAAGAAGAGTAGTACATACACATAATGGAATATTATTCAGTCATAAGAAGAAAACACATCCTACCATTTGCAAGAACATGGATGGTGCTAGAGGGTATTATGCTCAGTGAAATAAGCCAGGAGGAGAAAGACAAGTGCCAAATGATTTCCCTCATTTGTGGAGTATGACAACAAACCAAAACTGAAGGAACAGAACAGCAGCAGACTCACAGACTCCAAGAAGGGAGTAGCAGGTACCAAAGGGAAGGGCGTGAGGAAGGTGGGTGGGGAGGGAGGAAGAAGGGGATTAAGGGGCATTATGATCAGCACACATGATGTAGGGGGGTCATGGGGAAGGCAGTTCAGCACAGGAAGTTACATAGTGACTCTGTAGCATTTTACTACACTGATGGACAGTGACTGTGATGGGGTGTGGTGGGGGACTCGATAATATGGGTGATTGTAGTAACCACAGTGTGGATCACGTGAAACCTTCATGAGATTGTCTATCAATGATACTTTAATAACTAGAAAAAAGGGGGGCAGAAAGCATTCCTGAGGGACCATGCATGTGAGCTCATTTCCTATATTTTACCAACCATATTTCAGAACCTTGTCAGAACATCACCAGACTTCCCATATTGTCCTAAAAATGTGCATAAAAAATCGTCATTAAATTCAAGCCACAGCAGACACAGATATCCAGGTTTGCACCTGTATCTCCCCTAGAGGGAAACTTGTTTATATTAAATAAGGCATCGTAGCCATTAGGGTTCTCCAGAGAAACAGAACCAATGGGAGAGAGAAAGAGAGATTTTTAAAAAGTTTTAAGAGATTTATTTTAAGAAATTGGTTCATGTAATGTGGGGGCTAGCAAGTCCAAAGTCTGTAGGTCATGTTGGCAGGCTAGAAAACCAGTCAGGAGTTAATGCTGCAATCTTAAGCAGAATATTTTTCCCCTTTGAGAAACCTCAGTTTTGCTCTGAAGACCCTTCACTGATTGGACAAGGTCAATCCCTATTACTGAGGATCATCTGCTTCACTTAAAGTCAACTGATTATAGATATAAACTATATTTAAAAAATACCCTCGTAGCCACATCTAGATTAGTATTTGATTAAATAAGTGTATACTAAAGCTTTGCTAAATTTACAAATTAACTATCACAAGCATCAAGCTTGAGTGTGTGAGGAGATGTGGATTAATGCCCACCTAACTGGGTGTCAGCCATAAGGGCTCAAAGCCCTGAGCTTCCCCACCAACCCAGTTCTGATCTCAGTTCTCCTCTGGTTGGAGCTTCCAGCCCACTTACTCTGATTCCGATCTGCTCTACCTTCTTATTCTTCTAGATCAGGGGTCAAGTGGAAAATACATTGAGTTGGAGGACAGACTTCATTCCTTCAATGCCTATAGCACTCAAAGTCTGTGTCCCATAATTTTTCATTTCATTCCCATTTTTATCATTTGATTTATATGCTTGCTTCTCCATTTGACCTATGGATTCTTGTAAGGTAAATAATATTTCATCTGTTTTGTATGTGTGGTTCACAGTCAGAATATGAACCTGAATTTGGTTCATATTCAGGTAAATAATACATTCCTAAAATACATTCAGAACTTTAGAGGTGTATGGGATGGACAAACTGTCAAAAATCATTTTTTCATTCTTTATGATTCAAACACAATCATTCATTCTAAATGACTACTCATGCATTTATCAATTTTTAGTCCATCCATCTGTCATTCATTCATCCAACCACCCACTATTCTTTTGAGAGGTATATGACTTAAAACAAGAAATATGTATGCCAAGTGACTTACAAGAGATGAGACAATGTTTTATTGGAAAGGTTGGGCCTCTTTTAAATTTTTTAGCCCTTTTACTCTTTATGTTTCATTTGCCTAGGTGCTTAGAGGAGGAATTCCTGTTATTCTTTGAGTTTAACGTTGTTGCTAAAATTTGTAACTCAAATAAAAAAAGGTGATTCCTGAAAATGTGTCTTTGTCTTCTTCCAATGTGGATGTCAGTTTCGTTTTCCTGCCACTGACTTCGAGCTGAGATCACATGGAAGTGATTATAGCTCACTGGAGACTGGACAATTGCAATCAAAGATTGTGAAATAATTGTGGTAACTAATTGAATAATCCAGCCACGATAGGAGGAGACTTTTCTTAAATCACCCACATAATTTAGAAAGCCTAGTTTCATTTATTTAACTCAAGTAACCAGTAATGCCTTCTCTCCAACTTTGTTCTGTAAGTGGAGCTCCGGCTTAATATCCTTTAAGAAAAAGTGAAGAATTTAGGCAAAATGTATTTTGAAAACATGGGCACATATTCACTGTGTTCACATTCATAAAGACACAGTTTAAGTAGAAAGGTGTATTCTGTGTTTTATCTATTTTATTTACATATCATTGACCCCACCACGGCCTTCAAAAAATCTTTCTGAAAAAAATCGAAAGAAAGTAAAGAAGAAAAGGGGGTAAGAAGAAGAGAGCTTAAGAGGGTAAATCTAGGCTGCCTATTAAAAGGTGGACTGGGAACCTATTTTAGGAAAAGCCACTGCAGCCTGAAGGTCATCGCTTTCTGCTGGGGCCTCTGAACAAAGATGTAAATGGAGTAATTAAGCATTACTCCATTTACAGTGTTTTTGTCAAATATCCTTCAGTGTCTGAAGGTATTTAACTGAAAGTGTCAACATATTTTAGAAAGTATATAAAGTAGGCTGTTTTTAAAGTAGATGTTTATTCTCTTTTATCTTAAAATCTTACTTGGAGAAGTCTATTGGTAGTCTATAAAAATTCACAGAATTTTGTAATTATTCTAACAATCTTCTCCACCACTACTCTTCCACTGATTCTGCTGAGGCATGCCTTAAGAAGTTCATAAAACATAAAAGTATGTTCATTACTAGATATCCATCAACATCAGGAGAGAATTTAAAACAACTTATTCTCTATTGTCTTGCATCCTGATTTATTTTCTTCAAAAGACCTATCTCTATCTGAAATTACACACACATTTTTTACTATCTTATTTATTATCCATTTCCCACACTAAAATGAGGAAAACAGATCTATTTGGTATTATTTACCAGTGAACCTCCAGTATCCTGATAGTATGCCATAAGTACTTGTAGTATGAATGTAGAATAAA